AAACTTTGCTACCAACCTACTCCCCTCTTCTCACGAGGATTGGACATTGTGTTATCATGGAAACCTAGTAGGCGGCTTCTCCATTGAGCCAATATACTAGTTTAGTAGCATGCTGAAAGTGTACCATCACAAAATGAGTGCCTAAAAACACATGCATCCCATCCTCCCCACTAAATAATCAAAACTGCTGCAGACAGTTTAGATGCAAGGGTGCGTAGTTGTAGCAATGGGTGCCCTTTCCGTGCTGCCGACCTAAGGAACAATCCCAGGTACACCCCTGGTCCTGATGGCCCTGCTCGCACGCCGCAGGGCTGTCCTCGGGCCGCTCACCCATCTCCGCCGCCACCGCCCGGAAGATGGAGCCTCGGTTGGCAGCCGAGAGGCTCCATGGCCAACGGCCGCCACAGTGAGAGCCGGGGCGGCGTATAAAAGCACCGGCCACCAAGCGATAGGCAACAGTCTCTCGACGCATTCAGCTCGTGACCCCAACTCACACCGCGCAGCCATGAAGCTGGTGAGTGTTGAAGGGTCCGGTTAGAGCCAGCGGTGGCCGCCAGGCGGCAGGGCAATCGGGACGGGGGAGACCTGTCGGTGACTTGGAAGCGAAACCTGAGGGACTCAGAGTAGCGCTGATGATGAACAACCAGAATATTTATGATTCTTGCTAAATCTGTATTTAGAGGACCTGATTATCACTTAGTCAAGCGAGATTTAAAGTCAGAGCGTGAGATTGGGAGAGAACAGTTTTTCGTCAGGATTATTTCTCATTGACTTATCTTTCCTCTTTCAAGCCACTGTATACAGCTTCACTTTTAGGGTAAAGCCACCAAGAAGTTCCCAGTTGTACGTTATCAGTCTAGGTGTACCTCGCCTAGGCGGCGCAGCCGTACACGCGTGTTTCTGTGCAGATCAGGGGATCGGTGTGGCCTTGTGGCACCAACACTAACCGGCGCTGTCTCGTGTCCACAGATGATCGTGTTCGCCGTGGTGGCTTCGGCCCTGGCTGCGCCTCAGAACCAGCCCCAGGTCAACATCGTTAGCCAGTCGTTCGACCAGGATGAGCAGGGCAACTACAACTACCAGTACCAGCTGGACAACGGACAGAGTGTGAGTCGTCGGGCTACCCCCCCCCCCCCCTCTCCCCCCCCCCTGCAGTGAGGCGGACCACCAAACCGGCCGGGGCTGCGGACGCCGGTGGACGCTCTAGACCACAAGAACCACAAGTGCTTGCGTCGGATGGGTTTCCACACTTATTTAAACAGTCGGGAATAAGTTGACAGCTGCGTGGAAAACGCTTCTGGGTGTTCCAGCCTTATAAAAGTGCTCAGTTCATCTGTGGCGAGGCATGAACATAAGGTTTTTCATTTAGGGGCATACATTTAGCATAGAAAAGTAATCGCTTGATAGTTGAGCCCAGTTTCGCCCAATGCGACTAGTGACACGTGCGTTGCAGCTTGCGCTATGCCCCCGTCTGGTCCCCTCCGACCACTAGCTGCTCCCTTTCGTGACTCGTTACAGCAGGCTTGCCAATAGTTTACCACACCAAGGCCAGCCAGCGTCGATTGGTATTCTACAGGAGGCTGTTGAATATTCTCCTTTTTGTCATTTCAACGTTCAATTTATGCGGCCTTTGGCTGTTTTCTAATCACCGTTGTCACTGACGCCGATAAGGGCACAGCATCAACAAGCCGCTGTACACTCGTAACCTGACCTGACCTAACCTAACCTGATTTACCGCAGGCGGAGGAGGCCGGCACCGTGCTGCCCGGCCCCGAGCCCGAGACTGGCTCGATCGACGTGCAGGGCTCGTACACCTTCGTCGCCGACGACGGCAACACGTACTCGGTGTCGTACGCGGCCAACGAGGGAGGCTTCCAGCCGGATGCGCCGCACCTGCCCGTG